AGACCTAAAAATAATGTTGCTTAATAATAGTATTCCAAGATATTAATAATTTTTTATACCTGAATAAGAATACGGAGGAAGTTCAAATTCATTTTGTAGTAGCACTGGTCCCTTTCGCTTACTATCTTTTTCCTTCACTATTGCTGACGCCCATGCTCCATTATAGGACTCCCGGTAATATATCAATCTACGATGATCTTGATGTATTTCTAATTCTCGAATTGGACGGGAACTGAAAGGACATTTCTTCAAATAATCTGTTTTCGTATTAAAAAAATTCGTCCATGCTCGAAAGTAGGATTGATCTATTTCCACAACGTCAAAGGGCGATGGTTTTGCACGAGCACTTCTAAAAATTTCAACCCAATCGAAAGGAATCTCAGCTCGTTGTTTGGAGTTTATTAAGCCCATATTTTTATCCGGTTCCATATAGGAATGGCCACGAATAGGGAAAGTAACTTTAACATAATCAAGTCTACGTGTATTGTGGACAATATAATGCAAAAAAGGAAACATGGTGAAATTTTTATTTTGTCCCATACACGAGTCTCAGAATATTTCAAGCGATCTTACTTGTATATCGAGAAAATTCCAAAGAAAGTCATTCAGCATTGAGCATACATCGTCGCTTCCCTTTTTGCCAATTGTTTCCGGGTAAATGTAAAACACACTTTTTGCTGTAGATAGAATGTGGACATTAAAGGCATAGACGTTCAGCTGGCTCTTATAGTAAACACCGTTTGTTGTTATGTTTGGGACACTGAGATTTTTCCAAAATCGAGACAAATAGCTTCGTGAGTCACAGAGGTTCGAGTTTTTTTCTTCGCAGCTCTTTTTCTACTGTAAAATACCTCAGCCTTTCTTTTGTGAACATCATTTTGTATCGTAAGCTGGCGTATTTCCTTTTGCAAGCGTTCATTTTCAGCAAGATCGAAACTACTGTTTAAAATATCAGACTGAAGAGATTTTATTTTTATAAGAAACTCATCACAGGAACTACATGTATCAGTTCTGGGATATCCAAAGGCTATGTTAAATTTTGTATTAAAGACTGTTCTGTAAGACTCGTAAGATATTTTCATAGAAGGGTTCAACTCGCAAAACATTTTGAACATCTTTTTTATGTTTAACTCTTCAGGTAAGTATAATTTTTTACTATCATTCACACTATAGTGGCTTTTCCTGCCTTTAAATCACTTTATATGTTCGTATATTGCTACAAGAACGTTGGATTCCAATTTTCTAGGATGGTTTTTATTTTCTCTCCTTTTATCTTTAGGAGCGACTCCAGTCATTTTTAGTGAATTTTGTAATATCTCTTTTTTTCTTTATTCCATGAATAGACATAAAAGCTTGTCTACAAATATTTATTTCTTTTAAGCCATTATCAGTGCTAAAACGTACCCTGTAAGAATATGCAGCACTTCTCAAATTTGCTACGTTTTCATCTTTCCTAGGCCTTCTTCGGCAAATAGGCAGTACTGTAATCAATCCACATAAGTATGAGTTCTGCTCATTAATAGAAGTCATTGTGTTAAAATGTTTGAGTACAGTTTTTCTTGCTTCTTCGGGCACATTTTGAAAACATTGTTTACGACAATTACAGGTTGCACCTACCTCGTGACTCTACAGTCTAATTTTTTTCATGACATCTCTCATTCTGCCGTGCTTTTTCCTTTTTTTTATTCATTCTGTTTAGGCACTACTTCAGTCTCATTTCCACTACTATTGTTTTCTGTATTCATTGTTATTTACTTTTAAATCACTTAAAAAACAATGAAAACAAACTAAACCGATGAACCTAACTCTAAACTGCGCGTATTAGATTAACGTCTATTAGCTGTTTATATGGACTTTACCCTTTTAGGACCTGCCTGATAAGGACGTGCCCCCTATTGGTGGTGTATGCGTAAATTAGAATTAGTATTTCACGGGAACTAAGCGCTTTTAGGACGTGTAACCAGTCGCTGACCACTTCTACGTTAAAATTGCTACAAGATGGCACCACTAGATCTATTTATGAAAAATTGCGACTTGCCCCCTTTTGGCCCTGTACCCTTCATATGTAAGAGAGGGACAGAAGATATATTTTCCCTCTCTTTTCTCGAGAATAAAAATGTTCGTTTTGTAAATATATTTAATATTTATTAATATTATTTTTTTATTTTTATTATTATCATGGTAAATTAAACATATGCGTAAGTATGTATATTGCCATTTTTAAATACTTTTAATTTGTATTGTATTATCATATTGATTTATGTTGCAGTGTATTGTATTGCATTTTTATATTAATAAAATAAATAATTAATTTTACCGCAGAGTATATGTAAATTTTTTTTGCGTTCAACTCCTTTCAAACATATATGAAAATAAAAATATACATTTCCATCAAAATATTGATTCAGTCCTTCATTTACTATACTCCTATTACAGTTCAAATGTTGTTTATATACAGCAAACGATGCACCATATACCTATTTCTGTTTCTCTTTCCTATAGCATTACATATGTAATGATTGTGCAGATTGACTCACATATAAATTTGTAACAGCGAACGCGTGGAGAGAAGTATAACTTCCACCGACAGTCCCACGGGACTCCTACACCCGTTTTTGTAAGTAATATCTCCGCCACAAGATAATTTCATATTTTTCTATACGAACACTTCCTGCTTCGTTTCATATATTTGATGTTCGTTTGCCCTAACGTTAGCAATAAAATACGTCGTAATATTTTGGGTATTGAAATATCGGAATTTATTTTGACTTCAATTCTTCTTCTTGACTTCTTAAAGGTTGGAATTTCGTTCCAAAACAAGAAAGCGTGAAATTTCCTTCGAATAGCATGTTTGATGTGTTTGATGCTATCTTCAAGCTGGATGTGTTTTCTACCTCTGGTTTCAACTGATTCCATACCACAGAATAATAAACAATCAGAATGCCCACTCTCCATGGAAAATTAAGTACGCGCATCTCCTTTGCGCAGACGTTCCGCCATGTTTTAGAGGGAACCAGTGTTGTTTATGTGGTGTGCATAGAAAAATTAACCCGGTTTAATTGAGTTACGGCAAACATAAATATAAACAATTACGTAACCTCACAAATCATATGTCTGTGTTTCCTTGTAAAAAATGGCGCGCGTGCTGAAAAACTTCAAAGGCGGTATCTGAGAGTGGACATTCTGATTGTTTATTATTCTGTGACCATACCGTGCTCGAGGCACAGAATAATAAACAAACAGAATGCCCACTCTCTACGGAAAATTAAGTACGCGCAGACGTTCCGCCATGTTTTAGGAGGATTTTAAAGGGAGCCAGTGTTGTTTATGTGGTGTGCATAGAAAAATTAACCAGGTTTATTTGACTTACGGCAATCATAGACATACTATACAATTATATTAACATTATTAAATTTAATAACATAAATATAATATGATTAAACATAAATATAAACAATTGTATAACCTCACAAATCATATGTCTGTGTCCTTCTAAAACATGGCGCACGTGCTGAAAAACTTCAAAGGCGGCATCTGAGAGTGGGCCTTCTGTTTGTTTATTATTTTGTGGCTAGAGGCTAGGTCACAAAATAATAAACAATCAGAATGTCCACTCTCCATGAAAAATCAAGTACGCGCATCTCGTTCGCGCGACGCGCAGACCTTCCGCCGTGTTTTAGAGGGAACCAGTGTTGTTGTTGTTTATGTGGTGTTCATAGAAAAATTAACCCGGTTTAATTGACTTACGGCAATCCATCGAGCAAAAAGACAATAGAGGGAATGTAAAGGTAGTGGGGGCAAACATATTGTTAGACAGGAAGTGCGATCTTTAGAGGCCACATTAAACAAGGAAAGAGAGTCTCTCTCCTTGTTTGACATCAAATTTAGTTGGGTTATGTTATTGTTTGTCCCAAATGTCACATGGAATCTTATTTATATGGAAGTTTTTTAACAATTCTGTCGTATTTTAGACTCTTATCATTAATAATTAATTAAAACTTTCTCGTCTAAGACACATTCTGAAAAATATTATATAGCTACTGTTGAAAACCGCACTAAAAATTCGTGATGAGTTTAAAGATTATTTTATATCTCCAAATAAGAGAGTAGAGTTTCAAGAGCATACCATTCAAACACATAATTTAAAAAAAACCAAATAAATTATTACAACCAAATTATTTATTATTTCTGTCTTCCATTACAACCTGTTGAATATCTTTAAAAATTGTGGTTTCCAATTTAGTTTTCATATTGGGACATTATATTTCTTTCATTTTTGCACCACAGTATTTTTAAAAATAATCAGTATCAGTAGCATATGTTCTCAGTCCCCAGTAGCCTGGGTGGGGTCCTCAGGCCCTTGTTCGGTGCCTCAGGTACTGCAGTTCTATTTTTATAGGTGTCAAAATTTCGACCAATCATGTTACTACAGTTTCTGGTAAAAGAACTTGCATAGTATATAGTGTCATACAGGGCAAAAATGTACGTACAAGAAACGATACAAGAAAACATAAATAACTTTCTATATCAGAAACGATATAAGAAATGATACAAGAAAATGCATAGTGTCATACGGCCTTAATTAAACATAAATATAAACAATTACATAACCTCACAAATCATATGTTTGTGTTATTTGTTTCCTTCTAAAACATGGCGTGCGTGCTGACTGAAAAACTTCAAAGGCGGCATCTGAGAGTGGGCATTCTGTGCATTTTTTATTATTCTGTGGCTAGGTACTGACACTTCTTAGGTGCTGTGATTTAGGTTAGCTGTCACTGTCCCTCTCCATGTAATGTACTCCCTGACCATAGAGAAATAACAAATTATTTCTCTATGTCCCTGACCAGAGATATCTTACATATCTCTGTCCCTGACCCTTTATTCTTTTTTATTTCTCTATGCCCTGACCTGAGTCCTGACCTTGCTCTACTAAAACTAACTCTTCAGCTTGTGTTTTTGTTGTGGAAATACAAATACATGAGATTAAGTTTAATCAAATGGAAGTAATAAAACAAGAAACCAGTGAGGAGACCTGTGAAGTAGAAATAGAGAATAGTGAATTGGATGATGCTCTTTTGGATCGATTTAAAGGTGAAATTAAGGAAGAATCCAATCTAGAAAGTACCGATGATACTTTTGATCGTTCAGCTTTGAAGGAATTTCCCATAAAGACTGAAATAGAACAAGATGGAAATAAACTTACCCGTTTTAAAGGAAAACGAAAAATCAATGAAGGTAATGCAATATACCTATGCTTTTCCCATCTTTCATACTATGTAATATATGACTTGAAGAGTGGATCAAAAGCCGGGCAACCGGGACAACGCCTAATTATCTCTTAAATTGATGGTCCAAATTATACAACAAAAACGTGCACCTATTGTGCAATGATATGCAAGTTTGCCAGATTTACCATTTGTCTGATATAATTAGTCATTTCAGTTTTTAACCCTTTAATTGGCAAGGGTATAAATACTTACTGAAAAATTAAAATTTGTTCAAATATGTAGCATAAAACAATCATCTTGAAATAATTTCTAGTTTTTTTTTGTTTTCCATTTCATACTTTTTTTTTACAGATTGTATCCTATAGGATACATTGCCAAAAAGTCAAGATATAACGTTTAGTTAATTTTGAATGTTTAAAATACTTTGCTTGAATTATATAACATCAATAGGGTTAAAAAATAAAAGATTACTACTAATAAATGCTTTAATAAAAATAATTACAATTTAGTTTTATGGTAAGTCATAAAACAGTTCCTTTCAGAGATAATACACAGTCGTGTATTACACTTCTGACACATAAATGTAGTTTGTCCTTTAGGGCACAAACGACACCGACCTTTAGTTGTTGTTAAGGGAAAATGATCAATGTTATCTAGCCTAGTATCGTCGGTCGGCCTAGTAACTACCGGACTTCGGATTTGTTTGTTAGGAAATGACCAAGCAGCTGGGCGACCTATTTTTGCTTTATTTGATTTTAGTAGACTTTGAATAATGTCGTTGCGGAACGTTTTCAATGGAATGATTTTTTTAATGTTCAGTGCATTGCAGTGTCTTCTATAAAGCAGCCATCCATTATTTACACTTATATCGAGCATTTGGGCTAGCAACTTCAGGTACCATCGATGTGACTTTAGGCCAGTTCGATATAAAGACACAAGCATGTCAGCAAGGTCTACGCCTCCCATATGCTTATTATATTCTAAAACTACCTGGGGACATAATACGTTAATTTTTTTCTTTTGTTCCTTACAGTATCTTTGAACATGAGATGTTGTTGTAGTATCAGAAAATGATGATACTAAATTAACACATTTATTATCTGCCCATTTGGTAATACTAATTTTCATTTCGTTGTCGCTAACACTTTCGAAGCTACCTCGTCCTCTTTTAAGTAACACCTTGTCAGAAACCATAGTACAATTTCTTATTCTATTTTTTTGAACTGTCCCTAGGCTGAATATGCCTAACTCACTTCTTAGATATGTAACTAATTCAAGTGAAGTAAACCAATTATCAAAATATACAATTTTACATGGTTTCTCATGAATACTTCTACATAAGGCTACTACCACTTTCTGCGGTATTCCAAAGTATTTTTCCTCATAATTTGTAAAAATGTGATTCAAAAAGGTATTTTCACCAGCATAAGGAAAAAAATCATATACAATACCGCTCACTCCACATCTAACAAATAATTTAAACCCCCATTTTTTCGGCTTGTTTTTTATATATTGTCGTCTAGTTCCTGCTCGTGTTCCCTTATATGGGACCATCATTTCATCTATCGAAAAACGCTGTTCTTCTGGAATCGCTAAGCAGTTTTGGCGTACATGTTCCAACAATGGACGGACTTTAAAGTACCTGTCGGTGCCATTATCATCTTCATTGTTTGCGAAATGAATGTTTCTTCTGAGACTTTGATAACGTTTCAGAGGCATCACGTCAGCTACTTGATCATAACGGAATAATTGAGACCAAAAATCGCAATAGGAAGGCATGCTGACTATACCCATCAACAGCTCAATGCCAACGAAAGATTTTATTTCCTTAATATCAGTGGCTACGGATTTACCTGTTCTCTGGGTTGAATACAGATTTGTATTTTCTGCAATTATCGAAAACAGATCGTCCTTGAAAAACATTTGGAAATAAGTCAATGGTGATGAAATATCAGTTATACTACTGCAAATAGGTTCTGGAATTTCTACTGGATAACAAAACTCTGGAGAGTTAAAATTAAAATCCATTTTCTGCCGTTGAATGTTAACCTTCTTAGGTACAGGTGGTAAAGGATCCGGTATATTTGGTTCTAATGAAGTCAAAGAATTGTTTAAAGCTCTTTCTGATCTTCGAACAGATTCTGTGGCAACATCATTTTCACTCTGAAATGGTTCTAAATACATATTATCATCAAATATAATTTCAATGTCCATATTATTTTGGTCATAATTTGTTTCCAAAACATCCTCTGTGTCTGAAACATCCGAATCGTCAGAGTCTATTGGTGGTAACATTGCGATTATATTCATTGTTCGTTTAGAATAAACTCCAAATTCGCGACTTGCCATCTGAAAACAAAAAATAACAAGTTAATTTATCTAATTATTCATACCACATTGTTAGGCAATGTATCTTTTAAGATACCACTAAAATCCGTTCGTTATAACTGAGAACCCGGCAATGTTTCTTTAAAGATACATAGTTTTAAATGAGACTTCATACAAAAATTATAAAATAATATGGAACAAACAACTTAATATTACATCTCAGTAGACTTACCTTTACCAAAATAAACAGTTATCAGCATAAAATCTCTAAAAACTTTTCAATAAACGCTGTTTACATGGGATCAGTTAGTTCACTAACCTAAAAATTGCAACATGGTAAATTTACGTCACCTGTAGAACGTTTGTAATAGATCCTATAGATGGCGACTCACAACTAGTTATAAAAGAAAGGGTGTATTTAAAGATACATTACCAAAGACTGGCATATTTTTAAAGAAAATACGTTGATACAAATTTTTCCTTGATATGTATCTTTAAAGATACATTATCAATTAAAGGGTTAAGTACAATACCTTGTACATTGTACCTTTATTGAAATCGCAGTTTTAATACCAGTTCAACTGTATACAATACTTTGGATTTTATGTAGTCAGGAACATCTTAAAAAGGTAAAACGCCTTCTTCAACAAAAACTTCTAATTGTGTCAATCATTTTTTTTTTATTCAAACTAGGTACAACTAAATTTCAAAATAAGAATAATAAGTTTACTACATTGCTAAATTAATACCTACCTAATCAAGTATTCAAAACATTCTATGTTGTTAACAGTATCCTAAACAAATCTAGAATGTGTCTATTACATTTCTCTAGAAATTAATATGGAGTCATTGATAATTCTTTGCCTTAGCTCTGCAACACTTTTTGATTTAGTTTTATAAATTCTACTTTTCAATAAAAAATTCTATTTCCAATAAAAATAATCTTTAGGATTTAAGTCAGCTGAACTAGGAAGCCATTAAATAATACCTAATCTAATAATCTATCTTCCATTACCTTAAATGTTGGCGATTTACATTACCACACAGTGTAAGTAATGTTTTGGTGCAATTTTTTATTTTATTCATCATTACCTCACTAAATGTAATCTGAGGTCCTAGTCATCTTTATTTAATTCTTGCAAAAACTGGATTTTGTAGGCTTTAACTGAATTCCTATGTAATACATGCAAAACTAAAGAATGACATATGCCATGTATTTGTGCAGCTCTGCTTGAGCATATTTGTGAATCTTCAAGAGAACTTGTAATTTATAACAATTTTTGGTCTACCTGTTTAAAGTCTACAATCTTTTGTACAATTGCCCTTATGGCCTTATTGGCTTATTCCCAATAGGAAAATGGCTTGGGTAAATATTGTTAAACAAGTTGGCTACTTTACTATAAGATCTTTTTCTATCGCCGTAGCCCCTCATCATTAAAACTGTAATTCATTATTTTTCATTAAAAACTATCTTTATTGCAGAGCTTTTAAAAACACATAAAACAACTGCCAGCTGTAGTTAATAATACAATTTATTTTATAAAACTTTTCAATAAATGACAAGCTTTTGTTAGTTTGTTGAATTAATGTTAAAATCACAGCATTCTATATTTAGTGAATTACTTCTTTTTTGACACCGAGAAGTTTTATTTAATTACGATCGTAGTTATTAGATAAATACCAAGTGGGACCATCCATTTAAGGTGTGTACTTAGGTGTTTCCAGACTTTTGGTCTACTTGTATATATATATCAATAAAATAAATAAATATATCAATAAAATAACTTAATAGTCTTTACTTAATTTTACTATTACATATGCAACCTACATTGCATTTCAATACACTAATTACTTTAATTAGTGTTACCAATTTTATATTAAAATAATACAAATATTGTAATTGATTCATAGAATCCTTTGCAAATCACAGTTCCAAGTATATTGAACCTTGGGCTGTTTGGAAATTATCAAATCGTTAACCACCTGTGGCTGTTTAACTAGCCATCATGATTAACGTCATTACATACTTATGAGGTTGAATGAAAATCTCCTGTTTGTAAATTTGGGCTGATTAGTGAGGGGAGTTGTTTTTACACTACCAACTTTTTTCACTGTGTTGTCCTTTGCAACCGGGTAGTCATCCAAACTCATTTAAACTTAAATTAACCGCCCAAAATTTGGGTTGGTATCTACACCTTATTTCCGGTTTGAATAATATTATTTACATTATTAAAGAGATCTGTCCAGAAAGGCGATTGTCAAATATCTCGAGAAATAGACGTCGTATCGAAAAAACTTAGGAATTCTTTTTTAATGGTTTTTCAAAATCTATATACTTATGCAGCAGGGTTCTTATTCTCCCTGCGAACGCGGTGGGTGTAGCAACTTTGAATTTTCAACTGGAACCCTTCATTTTTATTTAAATAAACGTTTTAAAATTAGATTAGAACTATTATGGATATAGATATAAAATTAGAATAATTAATTAAATTAGAAATTTAGAGTTGAAAATACACAACTTTTGTGTAAATCTATAATAGCTTCTTTAACCAGTGGGAAGAGCTTCAAAATCGTCGTTTTGATGACATTTTTAGGAGTTACACGATTTTAAGTAATTTTTTAGATAAAATTATGTAGAACACGTTGGTAAGTACTCGAAGTCTAAAAAATTTCGGAGACATTGTTTATTTGTATGTAGTATTATTTTTTACAATTTTTCTTCGCATATCTTCTCCACTGTTTGTTTTACAAAAAATGTCAAAAACTTATTTTAATCGCTTTTAAAAGACCTACAAAATAAATCTAACCGCGTTCAATTTGAACGAGAGTTACAAACACAAATCTGTTTTGCATATCATTTATAATTAAGGGACCAACTATGCTGTTCACGTACTATATTAAGATTCCACGGGAATATTTTTCAATATATGTAGTTCATTTATGCTAAACTTGGACACTGTACGTCAAATAGTTTACGAGCTATAGCTTTATAAACAAATTAACTTTATATTTCCTTTAAATTCGTTTACTGAAGAAAATCCAAATTTAGCTATACAGCTCGCACTCCCTCGTAGGGGAAAATTCACTCATCCCAGATACCCACGTTATCAAAAGGATTGACCTGTGGGACTCTTTCTGTGTTCGATTCCTAGGTGACTTGGTACATCGGGGTTTGTCCCAAAAATTTTCATACATTATTATCTAGTATTATATAAAGCTTATTAAGGACGTTGTAACGGCGTTAAAATTCAAAAGCTTTTGATATATAAAACATCTAAAATTGCAACGGTTTTTCCCTGGCAGCAAATTTCACGTTCAAGAACAATGGCTAGTAATAAAAACAATTAAATCTATGTACCTATTTCTTAATTATTATCTTGTGTTAGTTATCTTACTCTATGTTAGACTCTTCATTACTATAAAAAGAAGTAACACTCTCTATGGTTAAAATTGTTCACGTTTATCACCTTTTTTGTAACATTTCACTTGGGCCATAATATATTTACAGGAACCAATGAATTTGATCTCGTTTCCGTTTACATGAGCATTGGAGCCCCTGTACAGTCTGACAATTAGAAAAAAAACAATTAGTCCAGGCTGTGAGGCCGCTCCCGTTGGGAAAATGTTTCTGATTCGGTTTCTTCGCGGATTCCGGTTTAAAAATGTTCCCTTTAAACAAATCTGAAGGGTGCCGGGCGAAATTTTTGGGCAGAAATAGTTTAAACAATTTTTTTTAAACAAATTCCAAAAATATTTTTTTTAATCTGAAAAACATTTTTTAGGTTTTTTGGGTCATTTTAAACAAAAAAGGTCTCTTGTCATTTTCAAACTATCAACTCTAAAGTTGATAGTTTTCGAGTTATAAGCGATTTAAAGTCTGAAAAAACGCGAAAATACGCATTTTTGAGGCTTGAAAACACATATGTAAATTATTATTTTTGAGGTTACCAAGTGTCTAAATAGAAGTTTAAACATTCAACTTCAAGATTGTAAAGAGTAATCGGGGCTTATTTTAATTTAGACCGTTGTTTTTTAATTGTTAAATATGCGCGTACACTCGATTTTTCAGCCGCTGCGGCGCGGCGTGCTAGAGTGCGCTTCTATCGTACTTATGCATAGTTTACATGTACACTTACAACACGTACAACAAATCCTTGAAGTTTATTAACATAGTTTTTTCCATAATTTATTTATGTAGGTATTAATTATTGTCATTGGGCTAATTAAATAAATCAATCATCGCAATGTAATAACCATATATAGTTTTTTCTTCTTCCAAATTTGAACAATGTAATTATTATTTATTGAGTATATATTTATTAATATCAATTGTAAATAATATTTTTAAATTATTATTTAAATAATACAATGTAGTAAATATTAATATTAGTAAACTTAATTTTAAATTGCGCGGTGTTTAAAAACAATATACCTACTATCGCAAAAATGCAAGTTTTTACCTGTTTAACAATCGCGCGCTCATACTTGATTTGTTATTACTTAAACGATCATTAGGAAGACTATTGTTTAATGCCCATTAAAAGGGTATTATGTTATTAATGTGTTATTAAAAAAATTGTGAATGGATTTAAAATGTCTTTTTCCGTACCTCTTCTTAAATGAAAATTTACCGAAGAAAATTTAGTTTGTATTTTTTGTAATAACATCAACAATATTAAGTTAGTGCAAAAACCTAAAGTAGATTTTTACATAACAATACAAAGTGCTGCTCTTCGGCGAAAAGACAGTGTGACTGAAAAATTTAATTTAATCTAGCCAATATACCTTGTACCTCTGACGCACTTTACCAACACTTGTTAAGAGCTTTCGCTAAAACATATTATATTTGGCGAAATGCTATATATTCCCGCTATCAAACTCTCGATTTTACACAATATGGATATTATATGTCTTATAGTGGTGGGTTGGGAAACCGTGCAAATGCAAAAAGACTTGCAAAACTAATGCTTGCAACTGCAAGAAAAATCATGTCAATTGTGTACCATTATGTGGATGTGATTTAGATTTTTGTGAAAACAAAGATACTTTTACTAAGTGATATTAGTGTGTTATTTAACAATCTTTTGTACAATTATTTTATGTAACTATTATTAGCCTTTAGACCAAATTTATATTATAACTCAATTGATATAAATAAATATATACTCAATAAATAATAATTATTTGTAAGTATATGTAAACTATGCATAAGTATATATATATATAATATATATATATATATATATATATATATATATATATATATATATAGTAAAACCTCCGTTAACCGAAATAATTGGGGGGAGGCCGTTTCGGATAATAAGAATTTCGGTTAACAATAACATTGTTTTTTATAGTATACTTAGTCAAATTATTAGTATTAAAAAAATACTATGAGGTGATTTCGTAAAGTTTTCTAATAGTAAATACAGAATAAAATAATAAAATAAACGAAAAGTTTATCATGCTTTTTTTAAAGAAATCTTCTATTTTCTTTTGCGTTTTTGTTTGACAACAATGTTTTGCAGCTATATCTCTTCATCGTTCATTTGCAGAACGCCATGAGTTCATGGCCTCATTTTATTGTTCGACGAAATGAAATGCAATTTGAAAATGACAGAACTTTATGAAATGAAAACAAAAATTAAGAACCAATTCGTGTCCCTATCTAATTAGGCCTACTGTATAAAATATCTGTAAGGCATTGAAAATCTAGTCGGCGGTCTCGTGCTGCCTGTTGTCTGGCAGTCGGGTCGTCATGTTCGTCGTCTGATACGCTCAGGTTGTCTGGATGAAGAACGATATCAATCCTGGTTGATGAATTCATTTTCTGAGTAATCGGCTGCTAACCACTCACGTATCTCTTCTTGGTTAATTTCGTCACATCCCGGCAAATGTTTTATTAAAGGTTTAATTTCTTCTGCCGTTTCTTTACCATTTTCTTCTTCAGAATCGTCAATCAAAATCCCATCAAAAAGTTTGTTCCAGCATTTTCCCCAGTTGAAGATTTGATCTTGGCCCACGACTCAACACACCAATAAACAAGATGTTTCATTGTTAGAGATTTAAGAATTTCGGGAACACTTTTGGATTCATTCGTCTCCTGTAATAACAGATGTCTTAACAATGTTCCTCTATAATGTCTCTTGAATGTCTCCTGGTCTAACGGCTGAATTAAGCTCGTGACATTCGGTGCCAAAAATCTGACAATTGTCACCATTTTGTAGATTTTGAGGGTAAGTTGACGCATTATCAAGGAGCAACAATGCTTTGATGGAAAGGTTTTGTGATTTTAAAAAGAATTTTACACTTGGGACGAATTCATTTTCAACAATTCTGAAAATAAAGTGGTTGACATCCATGAGCTTTTTTGGCTTCTAAAAAAACTGGAATTACTTTTTCGGAAATATCTTTTAGAGCTCTTGGTTATTTTGATTCCCCAATACACATGTGCATTAACAGGAGAGTGAAATTAATGGAATTGTTTACGTTTTGCGATAAAAATTTAATTTTTATTGACGAAATTATTAAAATTGTCAGCCGTTTCGGTTAAACGATGTTTCGGTTAAAAAGGTTTCGGTTAAGGGAGGTTTTACTGTATATATATATATATATATATATATATATATATATATATATATATATATTATTAATCATATGTATGCTTTGTATGGACCTTTAAACAGTAAAAGTGACTCCATCACTAAATGCAACCAAAATATATTTTAAAATGGAGCTCAGCTGTCATAACTTTACAATTTACCAAGCAACTTGTAGGAATAATAACTTGTCATCTTGCTCTATTAAATTTCGGAAATGGGCAACAAATGTCAATTACACAACAATATCTAACAAAAGGACACATGCAAATAGAGTGTTGTTGTGTACACAGTTGAATTGAATGGAAATTAAAAAATAGGATAATTGAATTGCTCAGTGACTAGAGACTTCAATGGAAAGCTGAGTCATATGAACTAATCCAGTTGAGGTACGATTTTTTTCATGATTACAGTAGATCAGAAAGTCTTCGTTACTCCAGGGAAAGATAATCTTGTAACAGATATTAAGGCATTACATTATGGGATCAATGGTGAAATAAGAGTACAGTAACAGAGTAACAGTTAGTATGTTATTTTTGATTATGCATTCAAAAACCTTCCTAGCAGACCCAAACAATAACTATCTATGCTCTATAAAGATGATTTGTTAATTACAGAGAAAAAATGGAAGCACCTTCAGGAACTAAAAAGTGTTATATCTCAAGTGTGTCACTTATTTTATGCCATCCTGCCACATATTCCGGATCGACCGAAAATGACAGCAATGGTATACAAGACATCATGAAAAAATAATCAATGACCAAGCAACAACAAATTAAAAAAAAGGAGTAGAAAATAATTTCATTTAGTTTCTATTTATTTTCCAATACTACGATAAGTGTTGTATTGCGTTTTACAATTTATTCATGTACTAATATACATTATTAATAAACTTTCGAAACTTACCTTAAAAACCGTTTATTGACAATAGCTGATAAAGGCATAAAATTAGATTCAATATCTGCTGTCTGCAATTTTACGAAAAATAAAAAATATTTTTCCTAAACAAATTAATATACACAAGAACAACATATTTTTAGAAAATTTAATAAAATTTTATATTTCACAGTGGCCCTATCTTAACCTCATAATGTTTTTTCATTATTCTGTACAAAAATGAATTTATGTTTTATGGAAAAATTTAAAAGGACTATCCCGCAATATTGAATCTATATATATATATATATATATATATATATATATATATATATATATATATATATATTGTATTTTATCTTTTATAACACTCTGCAGAGACCAGTTTATACATTCGGAAGTAGGTAATTCTCCTAATTCCGTTTAAAAAAAGGTGACTCCATCTTTACACACAATATAGAATGTGAAACACAACACACTAAACAAGAACACTCTAAACTCATACAAACATTTACAATTCATATAAACCATACCGAGCACTTAAATAATTAGAGTTTGAATTTTCATGGGGCAATACATCTACTCTCATATCTCTTTAGCCAAATCTGGCTGTTGCCTCTAACATCGTGGGCAAAAGTGAATCAACGTCCAATTTTGTTGTAGTACCATAACCTTGTTAACAATCTTAGCGGTTATACACATCGTTTTTTAACTAAATAATGAATGTGTTGTAGTACACATTAAAAGACGGGGACTATTATACAGGTAGAGGACAGAAACACAGGTTTCTATAACATATTTATATCATTTACTACTTCTGCTGTTTTAAATTATATTATGCTTTAATTTATTTTCACTTATACTCAAATATTTATATTATAGTTGGTTTATATTTTAGGTTATCTCCAAGACGAACACAAAATGGATATTATAGACACACTAATTAAAGATTCATCTTACGAAGGAAATTATACGAGTCAACATTCTGAAGTAAAAATATTAAATAAAGATATGAAAGTTGCGACTGAACAAAGACTTTACAAGTGTGAAATTTGTTTGATGCGGTTTACTCGAGAATATCATTTGAAAAGGCATTTCAGGGTGCACACTGGAGAAAAACCTTACAAGTGTGAAATTTGTTTTAAGCAATTTAGTAGAGCAAGTAATTTGACAACACATTCATTAATGCACACTGGTGAAAAACCTTACAAGTGTGAAATTTGTTTTAAACAGTTTAGTCAAGCAAGTAATTTGAAATCACATTTGAAAGTACACACTGGAGAAAAATCTTACAAGTGTGAAATTTGTTTTAAGCAATTTAACCAAGCAAAATATTTGAAAACACATTTGATAGTGCACACTGGCGAAAAATCTTACAAGTGTGAAATTTGTTTTAAGCAGTTTATTCGATTATCTTATTTGAAAATGCATTTGAAAGTGCACACTGGCGAAAAACCTTACAAGTGTGAAATTTGTTTTATGCAGTTTACTCGAGAATATGATTTGAAAAGGCATTTAAAAGTACACACTGGAGAAAAATCTTACAAGTGTGAAATTTGTTTTAAGCAATTTAGCAGAGTAAGTTATTTGACAATACATTCTAGAGTGCACACTGGTGAAAAACCTTACATGTGTGAAATTTGTTTTAAGCAGTTTACTCAAGAAATTGATTTGAAAAGGCATTTGAGTGTGCATACTGGAGAAAAATCTCACAAGTGTGAAATTTGTTTTAAGCAATTTAATAGAGCAACTCATTTGAAAACACATTCGAGAATGCACACTGGCGAAAAACCTTTCAAGTGTGAAATTTGTTTTAAACAGTTTTCTTACAAACGTGCTTTAAAAACACATTTGAGAGTGCACACTGGAGAAAAAGTGTAAAATTTGTTTTAAGTTGTCTTCTTACCAAGAAGTATACAAACAATCTAGGCCTTTTGTTCGTGTCGCAGAGTTTGGGTGCGGTTCCTTCAAAAATCATATAAAAGCTGTTTATATTATTTTTAAAATTAAAATGAATTGGGCTCCATTCCTTAACAGTTTATGCTCAGACAAAGAAATAAAATGTAAAATTTAAAACAAAGTTAACCTTTATTATTTTGTTGTAAGGAACAAAAAGTTATTAAAAGATTATATGGTAAAAAGTTATGTCTACCCAGAAAAGAAATCAACAATCCGTGTTTACGGTATTAAATTACACGTGAGAAGTGCTTATACATACAAAACTAAAATTAAAGGCATGTCGTAAGAAAACAAACATTTTATATCTTGGCATTAAATTATGAATGAGAAATATATGAAAATAAAATTATACTCTACCCCAAATTTCGAAATTTGTTCACATAAAAAATACGTTTGTAATATTAGGTAGAATGTAGATATTTATTGTAATTAAAAGATCAATAATAACTCACTTCACTGTTATTTAGTTTATAGATAATCTTCACTGCTCAACCAAAAAAATATAAAATGGGTACAATCTTAATTATCCAAATTCCTGTGTGGCGTGTAGAAAGGATATAATTTTTTAAGCCTTCAGGTACTCAAGCTGACGGAAACGTTGAATCTATCGCAGCAGAAACATATTATCCACCATAAAAATATATGGAATTTAACAGCTAAGCAAACGGCATATTCATCGAATTCTTGGTTTCAGAAGACATACCATAAATCCATAGATATTTAGATAATCTTGGTACAATAAACATAGTTCTAGCAACTATTAGGGCTCCCAGTAAGGGTCAAAAATAAATATTTTTTGGAAAATATATAAGAAAAAAGGAATTTTTCAGCTTACCTCATCAAAGAGACTACTCAACACAATTTCGTCCTGTCTGTTGGACGTTTAAAGAGAGAAAGGGGCAAGGAATTTACGAACGCTCCAAATTTGAGGCGGCATTCTGAACTATTAACGATTACAGTAGCGTCCTTGAGGTAATTTAAATGAACTCGGCGTATAGATGGCATGAGCAACATTTATTTGAATATTTACTAGGAATTATAATAATAAATATTGAAACGGTTACAATTTGAAACAACATACAAGAAGGCAAGCCTTAAATTCTTCTTTAAATCAGCAAAGAAATCTTTGCTGATTTCTTTTATTTCTTGCAGTTACCAATTTACTTCATTCATATCTTTTGCATATTCGGCCATATGCAAAACGTATAGTAACGTGTCTGACTAATCCCCACTTCTTATTTTTTATTGGCATTCTAGGCGTCTTTTGACTTCGACTTCATCTCCATTTCTTGTTCTCTTAGTATAGTTGGGAATCAGATTTGTAGGCATTAGATTCTCAGAAATATGAATGAGGTAAAGCGACGACGTTGTTGGTAGTTTGTGATGATAGATATTCTAGCAATTTATATTTTAATCATTTACAAGCAGCAAAATTATCATAGATTAATGATAATTTTGTATATCAATATATATATATATATATATATATATATATATATATATATATATATATATATGTATATATATATATATATATATATATATATATGTATATATATATATATATATATATATATATATATATATATATATATATATATATATATGTATATATATATACAATATTATATTTATATATAGAAAACATTTAAAAGTACGATAATATTCTGTGTTAAAGTCATAAATGACAACGTCATGTTCTTAGAACCCGTAGGAAGGAATAGTAGTTCAACGTTGCCATAAATTAGAGAGAGAGAGATAAATTGTACATTGATTTCGTTGTCTAGCATTCAGTAGCTTATTGTTCACATATTGTCAGTGAATTTTAAAAATTAATCTCAATATTATTATTATTATCCAGATTTAGCCATACGGCTCACACTCCCTCTAAGGGGAAAATTCACTCATCCCAGATACCTACGGTATCAAAAGGATTGAGCTCTGGTGGGACTCTTTCCATGTTATCGAGTCCTAGGTGACTTGGTACGTCGGTGTATCTCCTAAAAATTTTCGCACACATCTGGACGTCGAAAGTAGCACAGCTTTCTGCATGACCTTATATATATGTTCATTTAGACCCAGCTTTTTTATGTTTTCTAGGAGGTTCTTCGGAATGACTCCAGTGGTAGAAAGAATAATAGGTATCGTCTGGGTACTTTCCATTCTCCATTGTCTTCTTATTTGTATTTCCAGATCTCTGTACTTGGCGATCTTTTCGTTGTACTTAACACGCAGATTATTGTTGTTAGGTATCGCCACATCGATTAGAGTTGTTTGTCTTGTTAGTTTATTGACTAGCACGAGATCTGGTCTATTATGTGCTACAGTTTGGTCTGTGAGCACAGTGCGATCCCAGTATAGCTTGTAGTTGTCATTCTCAAGCATACTTTCTGGAACGTATTGATAATATGGGAGATGGTTTGTTTGTAGAAGTCCCAGTTTAATAGCTATCTCTTGATGAAGGATCTTCCCTACTGAGTCATGCCGTTTCTTATATTCAGTTGCAGCAAATGCCTGGCAGCATCCGGTAAGATGTTGGATCGTTTCTTGGGCTTGACATCCATATCGGCATTTGTCGTTTTGGACCTGAGCGTCTTTGACAATATATTTCAGGTAATTTTTGGTTGGTATAACCTGATTCTGAATGGCGAGTAATGAACCTTCTGTTTCAGGGAACATCTTTCCTGATGTCAGCCAATAGTTCGACGCTATATTGTCGACATAGTCTTGACTGACTTCATTCGGATGTCGCCCGTGCAGAGGTTTACCCTGTAATATCAACCCTTAAATATCAGAATTACAGATAAAATAATATTATAATTCATACTCGTGTAACATTTGTTTATGTAAACATTCGGTAATTTGAATCGAGGACATTCATAAATAACATACTCTAATTAGAACTGGTAG